AGAGTGGAATTACAGTATGTGATGTTGAAGTCTATGCAGTATATGATGTGCAGGCTGTTGGCAAGATCTGTAAATGTTTAATAGCTCAGAGTAACATTGTGTGAGCTTTGTTACAGGAAACTTTCAAACAAATAGAAATATGGCTGGTACATGTTTATGAGCTACTGTATTGAAGGAGTCACAAGGCTTACCAAAAGTTAGAATTTAGCCCTTTTTTTCATGAAATGAAGTGAAAGATTGGGCCTGTTATTATTTGAAGCAAAGACTACATGCATACATCTGTGTACATATATGTATATTACCTCTGACCGCTGTTGTTGTTAAAGTTAATTTTATACCACGTCAGAGTTTGAAAGTGGAAATAAAGGCATGAACCAAAGGTTTCCAGTTCTCCATTTCTTTGTTCCTCTCTGATTTGTATTCATCCCCTTTTCATTTGGATACTTGTGGTAGAAAGTGTAACTACATAATATCCTTTCTGTAGCAAATGATCAGGTTGCCATTCAGGAAGGAAGGCCTAATACCAAAGTTTAGTGGTGATCACCTTTATTTTATTTATTTATTTTGCTAGAGGATGTGTACACCTGCCAATGGAGACAGAGAGTGAGCAAGAGGGGATGATCCTCAATAGGGGATGGTCATAACACAATCCCTACTCCATTTTTCCTTTGGCAATGTTGGGCACACGCACATGCCATCAAATGTCTTTCTCAAGCCACAGGGTCAGGACTTGAACTGTGCAGTCGACCTTGTGGGATCCAGCTGCCTAGCCACCTCGCCCTGGGCTGACCCGCTATGTACATTTTTATTAACACAACTTGAGACTGCATTTAGGTCTCAGGCACTCTCATTCTGCTTGCATTAGGAAAAAAAGAAGTTGATCTTCAAAAAATTAAGCTTGGGCCCAGCAGTTAGCGTAATGGCTATGTCACTGAACTCCCACATAGCCGACCACGGTTTGACTCCCGGACCTGGTGGCTTCATCTCATGCCGGGCGCCTGTGCGTGTGTGCCCAAGATCCTGAGAGGAGAATGGAGGAGAAGGGATTGCGGCATGGCTATCCCCCGTGGGGGGTGATTTCTCGCTTTCTATCTCTCTGTCTCTCTCTGTTTTTTTCTGGCGAGTGCATGTGCCCTATAACAAAAACCTCTGGAAAAATAATAATAAGCTTCATTTATTAAGTGATTGATTCTTTTTAATTTTTTTAGAGATATTTTTTGCTATGGGTGCATGTGCTCCTCGGAGATAAAGAGCGAGCCAGAGAGAGAGAAAGTGAGAAATCACCCCCAAGGGGTCCTGCAGTCCCTTCACCTCCATCCTCCTCTCAGAACATGTGCCAGGCATGAGTTTAAGCCCCCAGGTTCAGAACTTGAACTGCGGTTGACTAAGTGGGAGTCCAGTGATGTAATTATTACATCATCTGCTGGTCCCAAGAGTCTTTATCTTAATTGATTATTGTACAGAGTGAACTGATATTACATTGATATTATATTTCTCTTGAGCTTAATTGTGGAATATAAAGAGCTTCAAGAAGTTCCTGGAAAATACATAGTATGAAAAAACTGCACATGAAAGTTTCAATTTATTTTTGCACCAAAATAAACACAAACTTTAATTTCTCTTTTTTTTTTTTTAAACAAACTTTGTGAAGGCCCCTTATGCACTGTGGCTCTTGCAAAAGTGAAGATGTTAGTCTACTTGTGTTCCAGCCCTGCAGTCTGTTGTTTTTGTATTCTTGAGCCTTGCCCACCCTCAGGTACAGTGAGGTCTTCTCCTTTATCACCAGGTCGTCCCGCTCGTCCTATGTGGATGAGGACCGTGACTCCTTTGCCCTCTGTGATCCTATGCAGAGGATGAATTATGAAGTTGACAGCCTACCTGAGAGCTGCGTTGACAGCGGCTTATCTACTCTGAGGGATTGCAATGAGTATGACTTGGAGGTGGAATACAAGCATCACAGGGAATTTCAGCGGTCACATGGGACACGGGAGAGTTTTGGGGGCGATGCTTCAGACACAGATGTAAGTCCCCTGGAAACCACTGTTCTTCTAAGAGCTTATCTTCTGTTGGAATCTTTTCCCCTATTCAACTTTTTCCTGTCATGGGATCCATTTAAAGGTCATGAATAATAGGCTCAGTCATGGTGGACCAGGGTGCTAAGGTGCTGTACTCCAAAGTCTAGGTAGGACTACCTGGGAGACCCTGGTTTGATTCCTGGTTCAGCCTGAAATCTGGCATGGTGGTGTGTGCTTGCAATCCCAACTACTGAGGGAAGCTAAGGCAGGAAATCACAATACACTGAGGCCATGTCTTAAAAAAAAATCATAAAAAATGAAGCATAGCCAATACAGTGTCTTCTTTTACTCTACCAAGTTATGGAAAAATCTCTAAGGATTGCCTATGAGAGCTACTCTGTTCCATAACGGCATCCACTATAGATTCAGCTGCATATTTTTCTTCTCTTTAATCCATGATGTCTATGTGTCATGAGAGACTTACTTGTTTAACTGCTGACTCTTTTTTTTTTCAATAGGTTCCTGATATAAGGGATGAAGAGACATATGGTTCAGAGACATATGGTTCAGAAGGTGTGGCTTCCATCTTGGACTGGAAGTCCCAAGGGTCTGTTAGTGAAGGCAGCATCGTTAGTTCATCAAGAAAGCCCATCTCAGCACTTTCACCCCAGGTAGATAGTTTCTAATAGTTCCTGGTGGTTTTCTTCTTCATGAACACTGCACATTTTCTGTGCCCTATTCTTCATGAGGAAAGAAAGTGTGTTTATCACCCACTGTGGCCATTTTCTTCTAGACAGACATGGCAGATGACAACCATAAATCCAGTTCTCAGAAGGCTTACAAGATCGTGCTTGCTGGAGATGCTGCAGTGGGGAAGTCTAGTTTCCTCATGAGACTTTGCAAGAATGAATTTCGAGGAAATACAAGTGCCACCTTGGGTATGGCTCCGATTTCAGTTGATAATGGGAAAATGACCTTCTTTAGATTGATTTTTTGTTTTTTGTATCTTTAAGGGTTGTGTGCACAGAATCACAGTGCAGATTTGTCTTTCACTTTCTCTCTATATATACATACATGTGTATAGCTATGTGTGTTGTGTATGTGTGTGTGTCCTTGTCTATAAGGTGTTTCTCTGTTTTATCTAAGTCTTGACTGTAGGAAAGGAAAACTACGAAGGACAGAAGTATCTACTTGGCCAATCAGAGCAACCAAGCAAGTTTCGAGCATGAAATACCAGATTTTTCTTTATGTACCCTGAGTCACATACTGAGAGCCAGATATTGTCATAGGTGCTGAGATGCACAATGAGGAATCTGACTAAAGCCCAACCTGTGAGGAATTGATATCCCAATGGAGGGAAGTAGGGAAAACAAACAAACAAACAAAAAAAGAAAAAAGAAAAAAAAAGGAAGTTTGGAGTCTTTTACACAGGGTAGCCAGGGAAAGCATTTCTGATAAGGTATCATTTGATGTTGAAAAACTGACAGTATCCATGACCAACTTGTCATGTTTAAAATCATAACCAGAGAGCTGGATCCATAGCATAGCAATGTGTTTTGGGAACCAGATCTCACATGGCTGACCACAGTCTGACTCCCAGCCCCAGTAGCTTAAAAAAGCATGCTGAGCCTACATATGTACACGTTCAGAATACCAACGGGATGGAGAAATGGAGGAAAAGGGATTGAGGTGTGACCATACCCCACATGAGAGTAATTTCTTTCATGCATGTGCACATGCCCTCTAGCATTTAAAAAATAATTATAACTTGGGGCTGGCAGGTGGCATGGTGGTTAAGGGCACTGGACTCCCACATTGTTGACTGTGGTTCAAGTCCTGGACCCAGTCGCTTGCTTTCTCTCTCTCTCTCACTCTTTTCCTCTCTGGTCAAATTAAAATAAATAAATAAATAGATAAAGAAGTTAAATAAAATAGTTATTTAAAATAAAAATAATTATAACCAGATGTATGGTTCCTTCTCACCTTCACAACAGAACAAGAGATTAAGTAGTATCCTGATTTCATAAATTTACATAATAATGAGTAAAAGGAGTTGAAGATATGCAAATTATAATGCATTTTTCTTCTTCATCTAAAGAGTTATAATGTGAAATGTTAGTAAAAAACAGATCGATTGCCTCTTTACAATGGATGTCTTTGCAAATTTATGGTTCTTTGATACACCCTTCAAGATAACAAGCTGAAAGTCCACTTCAATTTGATTGATGAAGTGACTACAAGAGTTGGTTCTGTTGTTAGGGACTATGTATATGAAGTGTACACACACAATCCTACAAAGATTACACATTTGCACACACAATTATGTAAACACACACATACACACATCTGCATGCTTGAAAATACACAACATGCATATACATACACACATGCATACATGTGCATAAGTCATGAATATATGCATGCACCTTCTCAGGCACACATACATACATGATTGAGTTCATCTAATCATGGGAAAACAGAACATAGATTGTCCCTTCGTGCATATATTGATGCCATCACAAGTCAGCCATTTTTCAGATGGCATATCTGCTTGTGCATGTGTGGTCTGATGTATAATTAGTATTTGAAGGTCACTCCTTGAAGGCCATGTTCATTTCTCTGTCTCACTGAGCTTCGGCTTACTGGCTTTTATTCTCATCTAGAGAGGGTTTGCATATAAAATAGTAAATAAATATGCTATGTTCTCTGCTCTAATATGCTTTTTCAGGAGTGGATTTCCAAATGAAAACTCTCATCGTAGATGGAGAGCAAACGGTCCTGCAACTCTGGGACACAGCCGGTCAGGAGAGGCAAGTGCTTTTCATAACACTGTTGGGCTTTGCATAGATTTGCATAAAAAAGTCTTGCTGGACACTTGGTGTTATTTTTTTTAAATAATTATTTCTATTTAACTCTAGTTATTTATTTTTATTTGACTAGAGAGGGAGAGAACAAGAGAGAGAGGAAGTGAGAAAGCAAGCCACCAGATCCAGGCGGGACTAGAACCAAGGTCGACTATGTGGAAGTCCAGCACTCTAACTACCATGCCTCCTGCTGGCCCCTTGATGTTCTCTATATTCATATAATTATACATGTAATTATGAAGTATCTTATAATTTCAAGATGTCTGAATTTTTGTACATTTTATCCTCCTCCACTTATCTGTCAGTTGTTTGAGAAGAGGATTGTTAACTGCCTTTGAACTGATATTCGGTCAAAACAGAGAGTTCTTTTTATAACAAGAATTTAAGCCAGGCAAGGCTGCTGTGTGCAGTTGACGCTGTGAGGAGCTCCTTAGCTGTGGAACAAAAAGTGGTGGAGAAGAGAACCCATCAGCTCCCCTTGATTCAAGGGCAGAGGCATAAACTAAATAGCTAACCTATGTCCGATGATGGTACCTTACCTAGCACTCATTGCCAATGACCAGAAACATTAAGCATTGGTTTTAATCTTGTCAAACTCTTTGGAGACAGAATCTAGTCAATTGTTTGTCAGGCAAGAGCAAGGTGCTTGCCTCTGCACCAGGCAAGCACCTGTATCTGCATGTTAAGATTCAGTGGTGATGGGACCAGCAGTTGGCATAATGGCTATGTCACTGAACTCCCATGTAGAACAAGAGAGAGAGGAAGTGAGAAAGCAAGCCACCAGATCCAGGCGGGACTAGAACCAAGGTCGACTATGTGGAAGTCCAGCACTCTAACTACCATGCCACCTGCTGGCCCCTTGATGTTCTCTATATTCATATAATTATACATGTAATTATGAAGTATCTTATAATTTCAAGATGTCTGAATTTTTGTACATTTTATCCTCCTCCACTTATCTGTCAGTTGTTTGAGAAGAGGATTGTTAACTGCCTTTGAACTGATATTCGGTCAAAACAGAGAGTTCTTTTTATAACAAGAATTTAAGCCAGGCAAGGCTGCTGTGTGCAGTTGACGCTGTGAGGAGCTCCTTAGCTGTGGAACAAAAAGTGGTGGAGAAGAGAACCCATCAGCTCCCCTTGATTCAAGGGCAGAGGCATAAACTAAATAGCTAACCTATGTCCGATGATGGTACCTTACCTAGCACTCATTGCCAATGACCAGAAACATTAAGCATTGGTTTTAATCTTGTCAAACTCTTTGGAGACAGAATCTAGTCAATTGTTTGTCAGGCAAGAGCAAGGTGCTTGCCTCTGCACCAGGCAAGCACCTGTATCTGCATGTTAAGATTCAGTGGTGATGGGACCAGCAGTTGGCATAATGGCTATGTCACTGAACTCCCCTGTAGTCGACCATGGTCTGAGTCCCAAACCCGGTGGCTTAAACTCATGCTGGGTGCGTGTGCATGCAAGCCCAGGACCTGCGAGGAGAATGGAGGAGAACGGATTGTGACGTGGCCATCCCCCGTGGGGGGTGATTTTTCACTTCCTGTCTCTCTGTCTCTCTAAAAAGATCTGCAAGTGCATGCGTCCTATAGAAAAAAACCTCTCCAAAAGAAAAAAAAAAGATTCAGTGGTGAGGGGCCAGCAGATGATGTAATGGTTATGTTGCTGGACTTCCATAGGGTTGACTGTGGTTTGAGTCCCTATGGCTTGAAAATCACACTGGGCACATGTGTGTGCATGCCCAAGATCCTGGAAGAAGGGATTGCGGTGTGGCTATCCCTCCCGGGGGGGCGATTTCTCACTTTTTCTCTCACTGTCTGTGGCTCTTTCTTTCTCCAGCAAGCACACAACCTAAAGCATTTTAAAATCTATTTTTAGAAAAAGAAATTCAGTGGTGAACAGATATACACACAAATACCTGCCTTGTGAAGGTCATATTCTGTAGCAGATGGGGTGCTTCAACATTTTATAGATACTTGGGGTTAAGAATGGCCCTCTTCCAAATATGTACAGGGTCAGCCGCTGGGGTACAGCAGTTCAGCAGCTCTTGCAGGCCCACATCGGAAGGCCTGAGGTTTGCATCCTGAGACCTCCTGTACACGTCAGGCATGTGCAGATGTGCCTGCAATTGTAGTTGGATGAGGAGGGGTTGGATCATGGTGTGAACACCCTATTGGGGATGTCACTCTTTCTTTCCTTTTTTCCCAATCTCATGGAATAAATATAAAGCTTTAAAAGTGATAATGAATAAAATACTTATTGCCCTTGGTTTAGAGAGGGGTCTTGTATGGTTTTTTCTTTTCTTTCTTTCTTTTTTTTTTTTTTTTTTTTTTTTGCTATAGGGCGCATGCACTCGCCAGAAAGACAGAGAGAGACAGAGAGACAGAAAGTGAGAAATCACCCCCCAGGGGGAATGGCCACACCGCAATCCTTTCTCCTTCATTCCCCTCTCAGATCTTGGGCATGCACGCACGCACACCAGGCATGAGTTTAAGCCATGAGGTCTGGGACTCGAACCGTGATCGACTAAATGGGAGTTCAGCAACATAGCCATTACACCAACTGCTGGTCTTTAGAGTGGGATCGTGTATGTTGAAGTATGCTTTGTGCCAGAGAAACCACCACCCCTATGTCTGTGATGCTTTGGGCATATCGTGGTCTTTGGCATCATATTTCTTCTTCTACCCCACCCTTGTTATCATCAATCCCAAAGTTGTTTTTCTCTAATGTGCATGTCTTGCAGCCTCCTCTGTGTCCCACCATGTGGGTTTTTGATAGCTTGTTACTGAGATTGAAATATGTAGAAATACTCTCAGCCTTGTCCTCGTTGTACTTTGTTATGTAAACATTCTTGAGAAAGTTTGTTGGAGAAAATGCTAGGCTATTCTCAGTCAGTCACCCAGATTCTCATCCTTTTATCTTTCCCTGGGTCCTTCAAGGCCTTGTAAATGGGTATTTCACAGTATATGAGGAGACTTCCAAAACTGCACTAAAAAGGCGAATCTGATCTGGCCCTATAGACTCATGGTTAAGGAAGCTAGATGTCATGTGGCCAACTGCAGTTCGAATCCCAGAACTGGTGGCTTGAGAAACATGCTAGGCACGTGTGTGTGTGTTTGTGTGTGCGCACAAAGTCTGGGCGGAGAGTCTGGAGACATGGAGAAGTGATCATGACATAACCCTTATCCATTAGGAGGGGGGTGCTTTCTCTCTCTCTCTCTTTATCTCTCTATCTCTCCCTCTCTCTTTTTCTCTCTCTCTCTCTTTCTGACAAGTACACCTGCCCTCTGGGAATTAAAAAATGGAATTAAAATATGAGTTTATTTTGGTGCAAATAATTTTGAAACTTATGCATTCTTTTTTCATATTCACATTTTTTTATGAACTTTTCAGAGGCCCCTCCTATGTTACTATTAGCTTCTTCTCAGTTGGGACTGGTTTAAAAGATGAGAAAAAAAATGAGCATAAAAGAGATGCGGAATGAGGCGGCATTGAACTGACTGGCTGATTGTGTGCTTTTCTCTTTCCCAGATTCAAAAGTATTGCCAAGTCCTACTTCAGAAGAGCAGATGGTGTCTTGCTGCTGTATGATGTTACGTGTGAGAAAAGCTTCCTTAACGTGCGGGAATGGGTAGATATGATTGAGGTAAGAAATGAATATGAGAAAAATAAAATTCCACTGAGGAGGTATAGGCCATCTTGGACAATGCTGTCGCTCTTTTTTGACAGAGTGAATTTGGTTAGAAACCATTGATCCAAGCTCCCAGGAAGAGGCCATTTCCAGTGGCACTTGGTGGCATTGGTTTCTTCCTCAGTAGTTGAACGAGTTTCCCTCTAGCCAAGGACACAGCTGAGGAGAGCTTCCGGGAATAAAAGTTCTGGGTTCTCTTACAGATAAAATCAGAAACCCATTATAAACAAGTGAAAATGTAGGTCACCTAAGAAGAATCTCTTAAACACAATGATGAGGTCATGGGTGGATGTGCGCGAAGGCTCCCACATGTGTTACAGGTGTCGGTGAAACATCACCTGGACGTGAGCACGTACTGAGGTCCAGTTCCACAGCAGCTGTACCAGCTGTATTTTAAACTTGTGGGTTAAATGAGATGATGTCTTTTATCTGAGGTGCTTTCATATACTCCGGTTTCACGGTAATGATTTTTTAAAGTAGGAGATCTTGTTAGATAATGGTGCAGCAGTAAGACACAGTGCTCTGCAAGGCTGACCCACATGGCAAGGTCCCAGGTTTGTGTCCAGAGATCTTCCTGAGTATGCTGGGCACATGTGTGTGTGCCCATGATCGAGGAAAGGCTGAGTCCAGAGGTGGATCATGGCATCGAGACCCCACTGGGGATGCTGTCACTCTCTCTCTCTTTCTGTCTCTTCTGCTTATGGAAGAATATACTTTTTATAAAGGTGGAAAATGGGGCCAGCTGGTGGTGTGGGGGTTAAGGCAGCTAGATCCTACATGGCTAACTACACTGTTTGAGTCCCAGGCCTGGCAGCTTGAAAAGTATGCAGGGCATGTGTGTGTGCATGCCAAAAATCTTGAAAGGGGGAAGAAATGGAGAAGGGATTGTAGGTGACTATTCCCCACGGGGGATGCTTTTTCACTTTCCTTTCCTCTCTCTCTGTGTATCTCTCCCATGAATGTATGTGCCCTTCAGCAAATTAAAAAAAAAAACAAAAAAAAAAACAAAGGTGGGAAATGTTTTTGACCGCATTTAGTATGCTCTCAACAGTTATTAATCAGCGTAGAAGTACAGTTAAAGTTATGGTTCAGCACACTGTTTTGAAAGATAAGCTAGTGGCTAATATAGCTTTTAAGTAAGTATACTATCTATCGTTTTAAGCAGTCATTAAATTGCGGTAGTGGCTGCTCTGAGGACTGATTGCTGTCTGATCTCAAGATAGCCTCTGGAATTAATGTTCTTTCTAACTGAAGAAGTAGTGCAAGGAATGACTGATTGCAATCAACAGTGAGACTTCAACGATGAAACATAAATATGTACTTCGGTCTATTGAAATACCACGACTTAAAATGATTATAAACATCATGAAATGTGTCCACATGTACATAATTTTTTTTTAGCCTTTTAAATGTTTTCTTTCTTTAGTGAAAGAGGGAGAGAAAGACGAGCATTGTCAACCAGGTCTCCTGCCTCTGCCCTTCCCGCCAGCCGTTCCAACCCGCTTGGGGCACAGGCATGTGAGCATAACCAGGTTGTACAGCTCGACCTGGAACAGACCCCTGAGCTTCCATACAGCCTCCAGCATCGTGGAACATTACACTACTGAGGAGACACTGGGCCTGGGCCCGTGCGGCATTTATTATACATTGAAAATTTCCATGCTATATTTATCACTTTTTAACATCGGAGAAAAGGCATGAGAAACACAGTAGTTTCACTTTTTGTTAATGAATTGTTTTTTAAAAGAATTATTCATTTAATTTTATGGGTCATTATTTTTTTTTGAAATTTTCTATAGAGCGTGTGTGCTCACCAGAGAGAGACAGAGAGAGAAGTAAAGTGTGAAAGCATATGGCCAGGTTCGAGACTCAAACTGGTCAGCCATGTGGGAGTCCAGCCTTAACCACCAGGTCACCTGCTGACCTCACTTTTTATGAGAAACCTGAGGTGTAGAAAGTGTATGATACTTGCTTAATGTTATTTAGTGGATAGAGCACAATGGGGACTTGAATCAGCCCTTCTGACTCAACAGTGGTTGCTACCTTAATAAGCAATAACAACCTTAATAAGCAATAACAGGGACCAGCAGATGGTACAGTGGTTACATCGCTGGACTCCCACGTAGTCGACAGCAGTTCAAGTCTCAGATCCGGTGGCTTAAAAGTCATGCTGGGCGCATATACGTGTGTGCCTAAAGTCCCAATGGGAGACTAGAAGAGAAAGTATTGCAGTGTGGCCATCCCCTCTAGGGGGTGATTTTTCGTTTTCTGTCCCTTCGTATCTTGCTGGTGAGCACACACGCCTTATAGTAAAAATCTCTCTCAAAAAAAAAAAAAAAAAAGCAGTAACAGATTAAGGATGTGAGCAACTGATTAGTAGAAGTTTTTAGTAACAAGAAAGGAATTCCAAGATATGGTTACTATAAGAAGAGAGGTGTCTACTCACGAGAACAAATGGAGCTCCCTGGGATAGAGCAATGAATCCAGAGGATAAATGGAAAATCCCAAGTATCCTATACACATTGAGAGTTCAGATCTAAAGCAAACCTTATGATCATTAGAATTATAAACTTATTCTTCCTTTGTTGGGTTGTGTGGAAAGCCATGGCACATTTTTGCATGGAAAAACATAGGGGCCAGCAGGTGATGTAGTGGTTAAGGTGTTGGACTCCCACATGGCTGATCGTGGTTCCAAGTCCCAGACCCGGCAGCTTGAAACTGATGCATGGCATGTGTGCATGCTTGCCCAAAATCCCAAGAGGAGGATGGAGGAGAAGGAATTGCAGTGTGGCCATCCCCCCAGGGGGTGATCTTTCACTTTCTTTCTCTCTGTCTCTCTGTAACTCCAGTGAGGGCACACGTCTTATAGCAATAATCTCTCTAAACAAACAAACAAAACATAGAAAAATAGTCATGACTTTCCTGACAACCTAATATTTTTAAATGCAGAGATGCATGCACTCACCAGAGAAAGATGGGTGGGGAAGGGAAGAGGGAGAAAGCAACCTCCAATAGGGCGTCCTCACAGCACAGTCCTGTCTCTACTTTTCTCTCCTTTTGGGATTTTGGGCTGTTACACATACATGCCTAGTGTGGTTTTCAAGCTGCTGGGTTGTGATTCGAACTATACTCAGCCATGTAGAATCCCCTTCCTTGACCACTAGGCCATAGGGCGGGCCCAGTTTAGTCTTTTTTTTTTTGGAGAGGTTTTCACTATAGGGCGCGTGCGCTCACCAGGCAGACAAAGAGAGACATAGAGACAGAAAGCGAGAAATCACCCCCCAGGGGGGATGGTCACGCCACAATCCCTTCTCCTCCATTCTCCTCTCGGGATCTTGGGCACGCACGCACACGCACCCGGCGTGAGTTTTAAGCCACCGGGTCTGGGACGCGAACCGCGGTCGACTACGTGGGAGTCCAGCAACATAGCCATTACGCTAATTGCTGATTCCCTTTAGTCTTCATTTTAATTCTTTGGAATGTACTCAAGAAAAGGAGGCACCTATAGCAAGGTCAGTCATGGCGAAGTCGCTCTCACTTCACGCGGGCCACTACCATAATTTGCTAAGTACCTGAGTGTGATAGGTAACCTTTTCAGCCATTTGATATCAGCTTTTTCTAAGGCTTAACAAGGAAGATAACTATATGCATGATGTCTTCTTGAATTTGTTATGGGAGAAAAATTAGGCTCCACAGAGCATTTGAATTTCCCCTTAGAGCAAGGAGAGCTTAGTGGCACTGCTCCGTGGCTCCCCATTCTAATTCGAGAACTTCCTACAAAGAGATAGTGAATGACTACCGCAAATACGAGGAGAGTCCAATGGTGTGATCACCAGGATAGGCCCGAGAATTGAGACCCAGGAGACTGTCGCTGGTGAATGCCTCTTGGAGTTACTAGTGGATATACTTGGAGGCAGGTCTGAGGCATAGAGGTACTGTACTGCTCAAGAGAAGCTGCATCCCACATGGTGACTGCAGTTCTGACCCCTTCCCAGTCAGCCTGGAACATGCCATGCCCACATGCCAGCGCCCGAGATCTGTTGGGCTAGAGACCTGGAGGCAGGGGACTGTGGTATGACCAAATTCGGTGGAGGGTGCCTGTCTCTTTTTCTCTCTCATCCTCACTCTCATGAAGGCATGTCGGTGCTCTAACATTTATAAAGGGGAAATTTTTTAAACTTAAAAAAGAACTTTTAAAAAATCCATTGAAAGGGCCAGCCTGGTAACCTTGTGGTTAAAAAAAGCTGGAGCCCACGTGGCTGACCACAGGTCAAGTCCCAGTCTCTATGGTTTGAATAACATGCCAGGCCTGTGTGTGAGCATGCCCAAACTCCCAACAGAATGGAGAAATGAAGAAGAGATTACAGCGTGACTATGCCCCTTTGGAGAGAGACAGGATGCACTGTCTGGCAATCAAAGAAAAGCTCACCAAAAGATAATAATTTGTACACTTGGATGGAAAACCATTGGGTTACAATATCTTTTTTTTTTTTTGAGAGGTTTTCGCTATAGGGCGCGTGCGCTCGCCAGACAGACAGAGAGAGACAGAGAGACAGAAAGCGAGAAATCACCCCCCAGGGGGGATGGCCACGCCACAGTCCCTTCTCCTCCATTCTCCTCTCGGGATCTTGGGCACGCACGCACACGCGCCTGGTGTGAGTTTTAAGCCATCCGGTCCGGGATGCGAACCGTGGTCGACTACATGGGAGTAGAGTGACATCACCATTACGCTAACTGCTGGTCCCGGGTTACAATATCTTATATTAAAATTAAGAATGAAGTAAGATGATGGCCATTTATTTACCTATCATAAATAATTTATTGATTTAATATTTAGGTAAAAGCTGAATGAAGATACTCAAGATTGGGGATCTCTTTCTGACTTTCACACACTCAAAAATATTTTGTGAGTTGCAACTCTGTGCATGTAGTTTTGTTCTAGGTTCTTGGGATATATCTATTAATAAGATAAAGAGCCCTCTCCTTGTGGAGCTTGTTTTTATTCCAATGGAGTAGACAAATAGAAAGCAACACACATCCATAAGTAACAGAAATAATAGGATAGATGGTGGTCAGTGTAACAGAAACAAAAAGTTTGTACTTTAACCAGTCTCATTGTGAGGACTTGGGCTGTGGTTTTCAGGAGTGTGATTAGGGCAGCTTCACTAAGAAGGTGGTAGCTTAAGTCAAAACTTGGGGGTGGGACGGGCAGTAGGTGGTATAGTGGTTAAAGCGCTGGACTCCCACATGGCCAGTCGCAGTTTGAGTCACAGACCCAGCAACTTGAAACTCATACCTAGCGTGTGTGCGTGCCCCAAATTCCAGGAGAATGGAGGAGAAGGGATTGTGGGGTGGCCATCTCCCCAGAGGGGGATTTCTCTGTCTCTCCGGCAAGTGCACACACCCTAAAGCAAAAATCTCTCAAAAAAAAAAAAAGACTTCAAGAAGGTAGCAATATTTACCTGTAAGACTTTGGGGAGTCATTTAGACACTTAGATTCTTGGCCTACTTAAGTGAGCATTGATTTGATTAATGATTTCCAAATGATGAATTACCGAATTCTAAGATTGCTGAAAAACAGGATGAATGGACACATTCATGGGGGAGCAGCTAGTTTGGGGCAGAACTTTCTGTTCTCTTCTCCTCTTGGCTTTTACTTCACTCTGGAGCCCTCAGTCCAAGGAAAACGGAAGAGGAAGGAGTCAAATGTAATGTCCTTTTAAGGATCATTTTAAGGCTTGGCCCTGTGTCAGGTGAAACTCCTTGGGAGTGAGCACCCAGATGCCTTCAGGCCCAGCAAAGAGCAGTTTCTGCCTGCGTTGGTTTAGTGGGGCAGTAGAGCCAGTGCATGGTTGGTGAAAGAATTTACCTGGAACCAGCAAATGGCATAGTGGTTATGTCGCTGGACTTCCACATTACTGACTACGGTTCAAGTCCTGGACATGGTGACTTGAAACTAATGCCAATGCATGTGTGTGCCCACCATCCTGAAAGGAGAATGGAGAAGAAGGGACTACGACCTGGCCATCCACCCTGCGAGGTGATTTCTCACTTTCCCTCTCATTGTCTCTGTTTCTCTCTCCCCGGCCAGTGCATACTGTTCTTAAACAAAAACCTATTTTTAAAAAAAAAGAAAGAAAGAAAAAGAAAAAAAAAAATACCACAGACCCCCAGAGCCAAACGTGGCATGAGCAGAAGTTAAGTTTAGTAGCGCTCAGAGCACAGGCAGGAGCACAGGAGGTGGAGGTTGGAGGAGACCCAGAGAGAACACCCAGGCTAAGTCCTGAGCAGGATTGCAGGTTGGGGCTTCGGATGAGGAAGGTCTCCTTTTCATGGTCTCAGTCATAGGGGGAGGGTAAGGATAAACTCACAAGCTTTGGTCAGATGGCAGTGCTGTCCACTTTTCAACAATGCATGTCAGCTGCTAGCCTGAAGTATCACTAGCACAGGGTCCAGAACAGGTCTTTCTCTGTTGTAAAAGCTTAATCTGGGGGCTTTATCTTGGGGCTTTCATCTGAGCAAGTTTGCTTTAGTTCTTAGGTGAGCCTCACCCTAGGCCCTCTTTATTAACCACATTGCTTGCCTGTTTTCTTATGAACCCTCCACAGTTTCTGCCCGTTCTTGTCTGGGCTGCTACTTCTTGTCTTTGGGAACCAGAAGCCTGCTTTTCTGTGCTAGTCAGGTGGTCTTCATTTCCTCTCTTCAGAGCCTGCTGAGGTGGGATGCACTTTCATTAATCCCTCATTTTCTAGATAATCCAACTGAGGAGGAAACAGAAGAGACCTGCCTGATTTCACATAGCCAGTGGGTGGGCATGGGTGGGAGGGGCCAGGCCTCAGGTTTAGGCGGGCCATGCCCACCTTGTGTCATTAGCTTGCTGTGAACCCCAGGACCTGCCATTTTGCATATGCTGATTTGGGAGCTTTATCCTTAGAATCTTATTACTTGAATAAACAATGATGAATTCTTCATAAAGGAAATGTTGACCTTTAGGACTTTTCCTTTTGCTTTTGTTGTAAACCAGAGAGCAGGGAATGTGGCTCTTTCAAACTCTCTTTGTCCCATTGTAGCAGAAGACTGCCTTGTGTGCCTGGTACCTGGGATAATGAAGTCCAAGTACAATCATTGTTTGCAATGAAAGTTGTAGAAAACTGTGTGCGTACCACAGCCAAATATAACTCTGTGGCCAGGCATCCTGAGTTAATACTCGTTTGTAGCGCTGCGTGCTGCGTGTACAAGAGATAAGGAATTAGTAGATAAACCTTTCTTTGCTATAAAAACGATTAATCCCAGTGCTTCTTACTACCCTTTTCATTAACTAAGGATGGAGTATTGTATCATGGGAAGGGTTATGGCGTCATTTTGGGCCCACACTCTGGGCCTTACACCTTCTTATCTAACCTCTCAATTCCAGTTTTCTCACTCTCAATGTAAAAGGTATGTGACTATTGATAGAGGTATTTTGAGACCGAAAGCTACAATATTATCCACACATCATTTGGCACACGAGAGACTCAGAAAAATGGTGTCTGCTGCTGTTGTTGAGGTGGTCAGTTTGCCCAGTGTTTGACGTATACCTGTGTTTCCCTTTTCCTCATGGTAGGCTACAGCCCAGGAGACTATTCCTATCATGTTGGTAGGCAACAAAGCTGATCTTCGTGACACTGCTTCTGTAGAGGAACAGCAATGTGTCAAAGCACACTTCGGAGAAAAACTGGCCATGGTAAGAGCAAGGGTGGGTCTGAATTGGAAGAGTCTAAGGGGTGTCATGGCCTTGGAGTCAGTGGTCTTGTGCTTAGGTTGACCTTTGCTTAAGAGGTCCTTGGACAGGGGCCAGCAGTTAGCATAATGGCTATGTTGCTGGACTCCCATGTAGTCGACCGTGGTTCGAGTCCCCGACCTGGTGGCTTAAAATCATGCAGGGCGCGTGTGCGTGTGTGCCCAAGATCCCAAGAAGAGAATGGAGGAGAAGGGATTGCGGTGTGGCCATCCCCCCTGGGGGGTGATTTTTCGCTTTCTGTCTCTCTGTCTCTCTGTCTTTCCAGCAAGTGCACGCGCCCTATAGCAAAAAACTCTTAAAAAAAAGAAAAAATAAATAAAGAAGTCCTTGGACAAACTCCCACCATGTTTGATGGATATCTGTCCTTATACAGGCAGAACTCCCAGTGACCTCCCCTTTCAGAAATGTAATAATGCCGAGGATTAAATATCCCTTTTGCAAATGAAATGGTCACATGATCATTTTCCATCACTGACTATCATTGGCAAAGGAGCAAAAATAATCCTGTCATCTTCCTCCTCCTTCTCATCCAGTTCTGGAGTCCTCCTATAGACCTAGAATACAGATAAAAGAAAAATAATGGAAGTTTTGTTTAGAAAAGATGGCTTTGGTTCTAGAGATTTCCAGAACCTCTAGAACAGATGCTACAGTGCCCCAGCTTGGTGGAAGGGAATAGGGAGGCTTTTTTTTTTTCTCTAAGATTTGTTATTAGTTGAAATGGTCTAAAATTGTTTTTGATTATGCATGTTTGTAAGGAGGGTTAAGCTCATTCCTGTCGAGCTCATTTCTGTGGGCAATGTTAATACTGCCATGACTGTCACTGTACCAGAATGCTCTGGCCCCTAGTGACTCATCTTACCTGTACAAGGAATTGCATGCACTTTGGGTCCCAGTTCTTACTGTAACGATCCAATTGGAGGTTGACTGTAGTCCTCCATCAGCACCAGGACTAGTCCGTAGCATGTGCATGTGAACTGCAGAAAGAACTTTCAGTTTCACTATTTTAAGTGAGAAAATCTTTCTTATTTTTGATTTTAGAATGGCACTGGGATAAACCTCAGAATAGGCAGTGAAATGGAGAGGAGATTCTCTCTACACTTATTTGTTCCCACCACATGACAAGTTCTTCATTATGGCTGAGCAAAGAGCAGGGAGCAACATAGGCAGGCCTTGTGCTTGAAGTTTCCTGTCTGCAGGAGGCGGACGTTAAACTCATTAAACTGTCCCATGTGGTGCATTTGCTCTGTGGCGATATTTGTCCGCCTGCCAGCTTTGCGTGCTCTCCCCGATTTCTCAGAGTCCCCCATGATTTCTTCCTCTGCATCTCAGGACTGGCTTTTCTGCATCCTCAGTGGCCACCTCTGTTTCACCCCAGTACATCCTGGCCAGAGGAGTGAGCAGCAGTGCTAACTCTTTCTACCAGGAATACACTCATTTGTGATTTTTGCAGATCGTGGATGTGGGGACTGGTGGGTCTGGTCTCATTGTGGAGTCTTTCCCTGTTGTCTGGCTCTTCTCGTTCCTCTGCTTAGAGCGGCCATCAGAACCTCCCCATGGCCCCCACAGGAGTATTTAACCCACATCCAGGCCCACAGAGCACTCAGTCCTCCTTTACTCAGAGAAATTGTCTCCCACTTGTTAGACAGTGACACACAAACATAACATTAGCAATTAGAATTGTGGCAAGCACTAGGCAGGAAAGAGACGAAATGCTGTGAGGTTTGTGATAGGAAGACTAAAAGTCTTAATTTTAACTTCAAGAAAAAAGTACCTAAAATTCTAAAAAGTAGACAGAAAATAAACTGGTGAGAGATGGGAAGGGGTTAAAGGTAACCTCAGTGATGGGAAGAGCAGGTGCAAAGGCCATGAGGTGGGAGCTGAGAGATGGGCAGGGGTCAGGGGTAACCTCAGTGATGGGAAGAGCAAGTGCAAAGGCCGTGAGGTGGGAGATGAGAGATGGGCAGGAGTCAGGGGTAACCTCAGTGATGGGAAGAGCAGGTGCAAAGGCCATGAGGTGGGAGGTGGTTGGGGCACCAGAGACATGGAGGGAAGGCCAGCGTAACTATAACTCTGCAAGAGATGGGAGATGGTGGGAGGTGAAACTGGGGACTAGCAGGAGCCACATTGCACTGGGCCTAGTTGCCATGGAAAAGCATTGGAACAGTACCTGGAAAGGAACGAGAAGCATAGGTGTGAGGCAGGCAGCAGATGCACTCAGTGATCATTACAGACCTGCCAGGAGGTGAAATAAGAGAGGACCAGAAAATGTCCACAGGTTTTAACAACTCCAAGATGGCCAGGTCCTTACAGATGATAGTGTGAAGAAGGATGTGCATCAGCTGCTGACCAGAAGGAAACTAATTTTGAAAGGCACCTCGTTCCTGAGAGATTACCTTAGAGCATCTTTTTTATCTCTTGTCAAATTATTTGATAGAGAATATTTGGCAGAATGTGTGTGACTGTTGGAAATAAAAACCTTAAACTTGGAATTTTGAAATCAGGTAGTAGCACACTGGTAATGTAGTTGGACCTACATGGAGAAGGTCCTGGGTTTGCATCCCGGAACTTCTCTGAGCATGTGTGACTGAGGTGGGATCATAGCATAAAGACCCTGTTGAGAGTGCCTGTCTCTCTCTCTTTCCTATCTCTACCTCTATCTCTAATATTCATGGATGAAATGAGAAATTTTTGCTATAGGGCACATGTGCTTGCTGGAAAGACAGAGAAAAACAAAGAGATGAAAGAAAAGAAACCCCCCCCCCCCCGGGGGATGGCCATGCTGCAGTCCCTTCTCCTCCTTTCTTCTCTCAGGATCTTGGACACGCAGGCTCATGAGCCTGGCATGAGTTTAAGCTACTGGGCCCGGGACTTGAATCATGGTCGGCTACGTGGGAGTTCAGCCACGAAACCATTCTGCGATCTGCCGGTTCCCAAATTTTATTTTTTTAATGAGAAGTAAAAATCATTCAACTAGGAACTGTTCCTCAACTGCATTGAAGCATATTATTTTTTTAAATAGTGAAAGTCATAATTCAACTTTTTAGTTATGGGATATTCTTAGCATGCTCAGTAGGAAGATATCTTGTTTTATGGGGTTTCAAAAGCTGTGATTCTAGGAAAGTCAATTAAAGGCTGTGTTTGGTTGTGTTTTTCTTTTCTACAGACCTACGGAGCATTATTCTGTGAAACAAGTGCCAAAGATGGTTCCAACGTAGTGGAAGCTGTTCTCCATCTTGCTCGGTAAAGTTTTGCTTTATAGTTAGAAAATTAGGTGAAGGATTCACTTTTCACTTGGCTGGTGGTGTCACATTTCTTGACCATAACATGTAGTTGGAGTCTGCATTAGAAAATACCGTCTTGTCTTTCAGTCATGGTAGGAGAAATAAATACACACGAATATTATAAAAACTGATAATGCTGCCACTGTGAACGCTGGTAAAATGTCTTCACAGCCAAACAAAACAGGTGCATCCGAGGCGTTGTTGACATTTCTGTAAAATGTCAGCACAAAGCTAATAGTTGACTTGTGTGAATCATTTCCAGGAACCAGATTTTAAACACAGGAGACTATTATGAATACAACTGTCTATTATGACATTTTCCTGAGTAAAGGGAGAAAAAAAAAAAAAGCAAATTGTATGTCATGCCAGTTGAAAACACTTTGTCACAATGGTTCCCTAGGTAATTATTAAGCTAAGGCAATTGTGTTAATTATAAATAACATTTTTGAGTATAGAGTATAGATTGGAATGAACATTGTTTCATTAAAGAACTTGTATATAATCATGCATGCTTTAAACCTTGAAATATTTTTAGGAAATAATGTTATATATATATATAATTTATATATTATATATATATATATAAATTAGATATCTCTTTTCTGCCTAGTTTTCTGTGATGAGTGAAAAGAAAATTCTCCACTGGTCTACAGTGATTAAATATCTTTGCCCTGTCCCCTGAAAATGAAAAAAAAATGCATTAACAAAATCAGTGATCTTTAATGACAGATAAAGTTAAAACGTGATTTTAGGCTTAATTTTAACTTAAAGGAAAGAAACCATGATAGGATGTGTAGTTCTTTTTCTTATTATTTGTGAGATTTTGTAAGAATCTTTTTTTATAAGTTTTTGCCTTAGGGGGCATGCACTTGCTAGAGGGAGAGAGAGAGAGAGAGAGAGATAGTGAGAGGAAAGTGAGAAATCCCCCCCAGGGGAGATAGCCATACTACCATTCTCCTCCCAGGATCATGGGCACACACGGACATGTGCCCTGCGTGAGTTTCAGTCCACCGGGTCCAGAACTCAAAACGTGGTCGGCCATGTGGGAGTCCAGTGATGTGACTGCTATGCTATCTGCTGGCCCATTATTATAAGAATCTTAATGTTAGTATGATAATTGGTCTCTTTAGCTAATAAACATTGACAGTTAAAATATTTTACAGTATTTTTTTGTCTGTTTGTTTGCCTAGAGGATGTGTGCATTTGCCAGAGAGAGGTAGACAGATAAACCCCCCCTATGGTGAATGGTCAGACTGCAATCCCTTCTCCTTCTTTCCCTCCTTTTCAGGATTGTGGGCACATATGCACACCCACACACCCAGCACTCCAGCCACTAGGTCCAGGATTTGAACCATGTAGTCAGTCATGTGAGATCCAGATGCCTTATTCACCAGGCCACAAAGCCAGCCCCTTTGCAGTGTTTTCAACACTGATTTTTCAGTTAATAGCTTGCTATTGATAGTGCCTAATACAATGTAATTCTGTTAATAGAGTGCTTGGACTAGGGCCTAGGGATAGGCTTTAGCTCTCACTTCAGAGAATCAGGAAACCTGCCAGGTTCCAGTACGTTATGTGACCTGTTTGACAGTAGTTTGTGGTATGGCCTGGTTGATTGCTTGGACTCAACTCGGCACCTCTGAACACTTGCCTCTTTGACATCAGTGGATATCAAAGATATCAGTAGATCAGATAGATGGCCACCTCGCCCCACAGCACTGAGAGTCATCTCTCTTTTTTTTTTTTTTAAGAGGTCTTTTGCTATAGGGCATGGGCGCTCGCCAGACAGACAGAGAGAGACAGCGAGACAGAAAAATCACCCCCCAGGGGGCTGGCCACACCACAGTCCCTTCTCCTTCATTCTCCTCTCAGGATCTTGGGCACGTGCACACACTCTCCAGGGGGGTGTTTTAAGCCATCAGGTCTGGGACAAGCCTGAATAAACCTTAACGTTTTTGCTGTAGAGCATGTGTGCTCACCAGAGCTGGTCCCGAGAGTCATCTTCTCTTAATGCAAAACATATTGCCAACTTTGAGTGTGGCCTAGAACAGTTTTAAAAGGCACATATTTAAACATACATAGATTCGGCTGAATTACATGGATTTGGCTTTCGTTTGTTTGTTTTCTTTTTCTTTTTTTCCCTGTTACTAGTAGGAGAATCCTGGGCTAATACTACATTTATCAAAAAAAAAAAAAAAAAAAAGCCTGAATAAACCTTTATATATTCAGTCAGTAATAGATTCCAGGCATCTGGTGGTGCATAGCGTGCACCAGCTCCTTTGTCTGACTGCACAAGCTAGATCTAGTAAGGGGGAAGAATTCGCTGAAATACAGTGTTCAACTTTACTAAAGATGGAATGATTGCTGAATTTGTGTTTTCATATTTTCAAATGGTTGTGTTGGTGTTTCGTTAATACGTACCTGAAGACCGCTGGATGGAACTGATATATGGTAGCTGCAGGGGTGGATGGGGTAGGGAAATTCACTTGGTCCCTGGAGCATCATGGGTCCCAGGCTGCTCAAGAGCTCATGCTGCCCCGGCCTTTGTCAGTTTCTGTGTTGCTGTTTCCACACATCAGTAAGGGACATGCAAGCCAGGCCTTGTGTGTGGTTACTGGCTGCTGCCCAGCATCTGGGAGGATTGTAGTGTCAGTTGACCCAAAAACTATTTTTTTTTTTTTTTTTAACGTTTTTGCTGTAGAGCATGTGTGCTCACCAGAGAGACTGACAGAGACTATGAGAAGGAAAATGAGAACTCACTCCCTGCGAGGGATGGCCTCATTGCAATCCCTTCTCCTCCGTTCTCCTCTAGGGCGATTGGGACTGGACGTACACATGTATGGTGTAATTTTCAAGCCACCAGGTCCGAGATTCGAACCACAGTCGCTAAAGGCATTCTTAAATCCACTGCTAAATAGCTATGGAGACTTGAACAAGTTCCTGTCTGTCTTTAGGCATTTCTAATCTGTAAGCTGAGGAAAGAGCTGGCAAAAGGATCTCACAGGTCCTTTCTAACAGTCTGTGATTCTTATACTATATACAACAACCTGTCCTCCACTGTGTCCATAGCCACTATGCAATGTCTAATAGGGTCATATCAAAGTTAAACAGCTCCATGGTGCCGCAGTCACACCCAGGGTGCAGGATCGATTCTCATTATTGTATCATAAAGATGGGAGAGGCCGTAGGCTGCCTGCACCCTTTTCCCCATCAGCTCCTTGGTGGCTTGTCAGGCCAGCCAGGCGTCGGCCCTCTTTGCAGGGTGGCTTAGACACAGGCTTGTGTTTGTTTACTTAGAGCAACTGGTATGCAAAGACACTTTGCTAACAAGGGCACTCCAGCTGCGTAATGGCTAGGCCATCGTTATTTTTTAAGCTTCAGTCAATTATAGAAGTCAGACAAGCTTCTCATGAGTCACTTTTCATGGAGCGTTTTGTTTTTGTGGCCTGAATTGGGACCATTAGTTATGTTAGTAATGTGTTAAATATAGAATATATAAATAAAGCAAAGGTTTTTGTTGCTTTATCCTCTACCTTTAAAATTACTTGTCAGAGTACCCGTGTCTTAAATAGACAGGTCAAATCATTATTTTTGGAAATTATTCAACCTGTATAAAGTTATGTCTAATGCAAAACATGTAAGTTCTCCATTTAGATCTCTCAAGTAGATCTCAGCAAGGTCCCTCTACACAACATCATGTCCTAAAACTTGACCTAGAAGAGCGTATGGGTGTGCACTGCCTGAATTAGTATTTGTTTTTGAAAGAAGGGCCATAAATGTTTGGTTAACAACCAAATTCTTTTGTCTTGGAAACCTCCCAATCCCAAGAAAAGTTTCTCCTAATGCAGTTTTTATGTAGGATTGATAGGTCGTCTTTCACAACCATTATCACATTAGTGAGTACATTTGCCATCACCAGAACCATAGGCTTTAAACTTTTTGCAATTGATTCAAGTTTAACAGGCATTTAATTGGTCAATGGCCTGAAATTGGAGAAAGACACTAAAAGCTCAGGATGATTACCATTCAGCACAAGCACTGTGCCCATTGTCGCTGAGGCTGAGTCATTTTAAAATACCGTTGTTGGGGCCAGCAGGTATAGTGTGAAGGTTAAGATGCTGTTCTTCCACATGGCCTATCGAAGTTTGAGTCCCAGACCTGGTGGCTTGAATCCACTTTGGTTCAAATCTCGGATCTGGCAACTTGATTAATCACTTTCCTTCTCTCTCTCTCTCTCTCCCTCCTCTAGTAAGCACACATGCCCTATCACAAATTAAATAATAATAATAATGATAAATTTAAAAAGTAAATACTTTTTTCAAAAATAAAATGAAATATAGTTGCTAAGCTTATGGAAGTTTCAGTGAGATGACTTAATTTTTCTAGTTTTTAAATGTTTGCAATTCTTTCTGATTTTCTTAAAATGAGGCATGGCTAAATTTTTGATAAATTAAAGTAACAAGCCTGGGTGAAAGATGTTTGTATGTGCTTCTTCCCCTTGTCTTCTTTCTTTTTTTAGAATAATTTTTATTGTAATTTCTGACTTACATATAATTGTTGTTTACCTTTTTAAGTTACAAGGTAGTTTTTCAAAATATACATATGGTACATAATAATCAAATCAAGAAATTCAGTATGGAGATCATAAGATCTCCAATGTTTATTGTTACTTTCTCTTCACATTCAAAATTTGTTCTGCTAGTTATCTGGAAATAAGTATGAAGTTGTCACCAACTTTCTTTATTGTGCTCTACTGCTCTATATCCCATTCCATCCTTTTATATGCACTCTCGTATGTTAACCTTGTGTCTCTCCATTGCCTCCACTCCCTCTTCACCTTTCCCAGCTTCTGGTATCCACCATTACACTCTACTTCTGCATAATCAAATCTTTTAGCTTCTCCTTAAGGGCACGTGGTGTTTGTTAAATGAAGCATACAGTATTTGTCTGTCAGCATGGCTATTTCATTCAGCATGGTTTCTTCCTTATTTATTCATTTCACCTCAGATGATAGGAGCTCATTCTTTTTATGGATTAGTAGCATTTCGCTGTGTATATTTACTACATTTTCTTTTCTTTTTTTTTTTTTTTGAGAGAGATTTTCGCTATAGGGCGCGTGCGCTCGCCAGACAGACAGAGAGAGACACAGACACAGAAAGCGAGAAATCACCCCCCAGGGGGGATGGTCACGCCGCAATCCCTTCTCCTCCATTCTCCTCTCGGGATCATGGGCACGCACGCACACGCGCCCGGCGTGAGTTTTAAGCCACCGGGTCCGGGACGCGAACCGCGGTCGACTACGTGGGAGTCCAGCGACATAGCCATTACGCTAACTGCTGGTTCCCAATTTACTACATTTTCTTCATCCATTCACCATTTGTTGAGCACATTGGTTGATTCCATATCTTCAGTTTTTGTGAATAATGCTGCAGGAAACATGGAAGTACAGATATCTCTTTGATATATTGATTTGGATATATACTCAGTAGTGGGATGCAGAATCATAAGAGTTTTCTGTTTCTGGTTTTCTCTCAGTGGCTGTACTAATATACACTCCCATCAAGAGTACATGAGGGCTCCGCTTCTACACAGCCTCACCAGTGCTTATTATTGTTTATTTGATAATAGCCATTCTGACCATGATGAGGTGATATCTCTGTGTGGTTTTTGATTTGCATTTCCCTTATGATTACTGAGGTTGAACATTTTTTCATATGTGTTTAGGCCATTTATATGTCTTTGTTCAAGAGTTGTCTGTTTGGATCAATTATCCATTCTTAAATTGGATTGTTAGGAGTTTTGGGGATGGATTTTTTTTTTTTTTCTGGTTAGGTGGTACTCACATTTTTAAAAAAATAATTTATTTAGTTTTATTTATTATTATTTTTAAATTTGCTTAGGGCATGTGCACTCAGCAGAGAGAGACACACAGAGAGAGAAAGTGAGAGCAAACCACCAGGTCTAGAATTTGAACTGCAGTCAACCATTTGGAAGTCCAGTGCCTTAACCACCACTCTACCTTTTGACCTCTCATATTTTCATTTTTTATATAATCTGTTTATTAATACTTTGACAGATGTGGAGTTTTTACATATTTTTCTCCCATTTGTAGGTTGGGTTTAATAATGTTATGAGCACATACAAGATGCATAACCTCTTGACAGGTTCAATAAAGATACCAAGGGGATAAAAGATAGGCCTTCCTACCTAACATCAGAAAACAAACAAAAAAAGAAAAAGAAAGAGAAAAGAAAAGAAATAAGAAAAGCAAAGCAAAGGAAGAGAAATAACATAATCAGCCAGGCATGTGACCTATAGCTAATAGGAAGCCTAAGGAAGGAAGAAATGCAGGTTGTCTTGTGAGGATTCTATGACTGTTTTACCTACTTTACAGATGAGCAAATCAGTCCTTAGTGCCTTGCTCAAAGAGACACAGTTAGAAAGTGGAGAAATCAGGACTTTTCTCTACTGCCCTGATTCACACGTTGACAGTTTCAGTATACCATTCTGCATGTTCTTCCCCTTTACTCTTCCGGTCTGTCTAATCTTCCATCCCCAGGGCTCCTAGATCTGTCTCTAGTGAGTGACTTCTAGTTTCTGTATTATTAACCCAACCTCTCTAAAATTCCATGAGCATATTTGGAACCACCATCTGAAAGTGCCATGTGAGTACTCAACTTGTCCAAATCCTAATGTGTTAATGTTTCTTTAAAATGATGCCTCATTCCATATTTCCTTTCTCAGGAATCTACTGTAACTATAATTGAAAAACAGTCACCCAGAGTTAATCTTGATTCCTTTCCTTTCTTGTTTCATTCCCTATGTCTACTGGCTTGTTCAGTTGATTCAGTGGTCTCTCTGTGTCTTTCTTGAGTCTCTACTTTTCTCTCTCTCTGACTCTCTCTCTCTCTCTGTATTTTGTATAAGCCTCAAAATTTCCTGTCTGGGTTAATGCAGGAGTTTCTCTAACACTAGTTCACCTTCTCACTGCAGTTAAGATAATCTCTGCAAATAAGAATCCAATTAATCTTTACTGTCTTGCTTATCACCTCGCATTAGTGTCCTACCTACACCATAAGGTCTGAGCTTCTTAGTGTGTGACTGATAGTCCTTCACAGCCCGACCTCACCTGCCTCTGATCAAATCTTAATGTTTTTCCCAAATGAGTGATAGTCTGTAGGCACAGCAGACTGTGTCCAGTCATAGCCAAGCTCTTCAATGACTCTGCCTTTGTGCATGCCATTCCCTGCACCTGGGATGTCCTTTCCTCATTCACTGCAGGTGAATTCTGTTCTTTCGACGTGTTCTTCCAGTGTCAAAGCTGGAAGCTCCATATCCCTGCACCTGACCACATGCTGAACATGGATGTTAGCCACTCTCTTCAGGACCTTGTGATCAGTTATTTGGACACCCACCTCTTCAACAGAGTTCACTAGCTGAGGGTCCCAGAGCCTGGGATACACTGGGCATTTTTTGAATGACAAAATGAGCAAGTTTTGTATTTGGAAGTTATATTAATTTTCTTTCGTTGCTGTAACAAATTCCTTTAGTTGTACTAACTTAAAGATTTTTTATCTGGCAGTTCTAGAGGTCAGAAGCTGGAAGTGAGTCTTCTTTTTTTAGTTTTGTTTCTTTTTTCATATTTAGTCGTTATACATCTCCATAGGAAACAATATGGTTTTTCATAAACATGCATTACGTTACCATCAAATCAAAGGTAGCGAGTCTTAGGGGAAGTCACAAGTTGAATTTTGCATTTTCAATTTTTTTTTTCCCCTTGAGCCTTTATTTTCTTATCTGTGAAGTAAGAATAATACCAGCAGCGGTGTGTGTGTGTGTGTGTGTGTGCATACATGCACACATATGTGTACACGTGCATTTTAAATAAAAAAATGTGAGAATGTATGTAATATTTTTCTGGTGGTCTACAGTAAGATTTGCCTTTAATTTTTGTCATTGAGATGTCTTCTTTCTGACTCACAATGCAGAGTTTCCAAAAGGTGAGACATGTTAGCACCTTCTGAATCTTGCTAATTTATAGCCGCCATCTCAGTGTTTTTATTGATTACATGCTAACATGACAATATTTTTGCTACACTTGCTTGAATACAAAAGACTAATAAAGTTAATTTCAACCATTTTCTTTTAGATTTATTAATTGGCTGCTAAACAATCTTATATGACATATATGGGTCACATAATTCAAGGGGACTTCAAAAAGTTCATGGAAAATGGAATTTAAGTATGAATTTATTTTGGTGCCAAAAAATTTTTGAAATCCAAGCATAGTTTTTTTAATAATACGCATTTTTTATAAACTTTTTGAAGACCCCTCAGCACAGTATCCTGACACCTTAGAAGAGAGCAGAGGTAGAGTTGTGCCTATGTGCATGTGTATAGGTGTATGTGTAAATGTGTGTTTGTGACCTTGTGCTCGAAATTCAGGTGCTAGAGCCAGACTGCAGGGTTTGAATCTCAATTCTCCCATCTTGTGACCCCCAAGGGAACTATCTCAACCTTCGGCGTTCATATCCTCCCACATAAAATGGAGTACAGCAAGTTTGTATGGTTCTAATGAGGACTAAATAAGTCAGCACCTATAAAGCATTTAGAACAACGTCTAAGTGACTCATGCCAACATTCGGCATTTCTGTTTTTATTTCTCCAGAGCCATTTGTACCTTAGTAATCCTCATACCTCTGTAATCCTCCCCATCTCTGTCTCTCTCCAGGGAAGTGAAAAAAAGAACTGATGAGAATGACAGAAAATCCATTACCAATTTGACTGGGAACAGTTCCAAAAAGTCAACGAAGAATTGTTGCAATGGTTAAGGCCCACACGTCCACGGCCTAGCAAGTCTTTGTTTCCAAGATCCTGAATGTGTGTGACTTGGTTGGTTCTCAATAGCATGGGACCTCCTACTGGCACATCACATGGAGTTGCAGTCTGGGAAATCGAGACCATGCTTTCGGGTCCCTCCAGAACTTTGGCTCTTTATTTGTTATACCTCAATGAGTGATTTAGGCCCTCTGGCTGAATACACTTGTCTTTTCCTTACAGGGTCTTAAAAGAGAACACTAAATATCTTTACAGTGGTAAAACTAATATCACATGCTCAAGGCAGACTCACCGATGTAACAGTTGGGTCCATGTACAGGACACCTATGACAATATTTAATTATAGTATCTGACACAAGAGCACTAGTAAAAGGGGGTTATCATCATTGCTTTGCTATGAACTAGCCTTGCTCTTATTCACGTCACGAACCCATGTTGGTTATGTTTTCTCGCCTGTAGAATAAGGAGTGTGGTTTCCTGGGCCCTGCCGGCCTTGGCACCTCTCAGATTCTGTCGCTTATTTAGCAGCAGGAAAGAGAGTATGATGTCCACAGTTAGTAAGGACTCTGGTTATTCCTGCTTTTCAAATACTGAGGTATCGGTTTTTCCCACTTCAGAAGAAGAATAGAATTTAATTAAGAAAAACAAATGGTAATGGTTTAGGTTCCAGTGGACATAGAAAAATCTACCTTTTCATGTATAAGGAAAAAAAATTTTCATACAAAGTTATGTATAAAAGAGGGTATTTTATAATCTCAGAATACATATGAAATCCATTGTTCAAATTCAAAGTTAAGAATTCAAATGAAAACACAGAAAGCCACATACTACTGAACATACAATGCCCAAAGAAGTTGTCACTGTTGGCTTAAAATTATATACCAGTGGGTGGCTGCTGGAGGCCGAGGAAAACTGGGGCTGGGGTGACTGCTCTGTGACTATGATTTCTTTTGGGAATAGTGAGAACATTTTGGAATTAGAAAGGTGGTGATGGTTGCATAACTTCCTGAATACAGTAAAAACTACTGACTTGTATACTTTGACAGGATGAATTTTATAGTATGCAAATTATATCTCATTAAAAATATATTCTAGCACTTAGAACATTGTAACATTTTGCCAAATGAACATACTCATGTTTATTTCAAATTGTTTCATGATTTAAAAGCATACTCTGTCATAGAATGCAAATCTGCTCCCAACTTGCAAGCATCAACTTCTTTTTAAATAATGAACAAGGAAAGAAATATTATGCATGGGTTTGGAAAATAGTATCTTTAATGCAGGGATTACCATTAAGAAAGGTGAGTCAGAGTCTTTTCTTTAATGTGAGTAGTCCCTGGTCATCACTCATAACATAGAGGGTCTTGCTCTCCTAGAAGCTGCAGTGCCTCTCAGACTTGCCGCTGAAATGTTTTTAAGAGATAAGGGAGTTAACACCTGACCCTAGGGTGGGCCAGCGATACCTGGTTCATAGTGGCCAGAACCAATTAAGTTATTTGCAACAAGAGCTTTGAACTTACCTTGTTTCATATAGTCCGGCCCCTTAAGCTGCTTCCTAAACCTTGAACAGTATCTGTCTTTACTGTATAAGCTAAAAAAATTATTTTTGTTGAATTAAAACAATTCCATGTAGCATTCTTTTTCCTGTTAATTATATTTATGACCAAACTCTGAATTCCCCCAACTTAGATTTTTTTTAATGGAAATTGACCAGATACATTACACACAAGATGATACATGGCTAAAAAATCACTTAGTGTTTGAAAGCCTGCCTTCTTCCTATAGAAGACATGCAGTATTTTTATTGGCAAGTTGGATCTATTCTCACTATTTTATTCCATCCTCTATTTATTTTATTCTATTCTCACTATCTATTCTCATCTATTTTACAATGAATTCCTACTTCCTGTTTTGTGTAGTTTGATTCCAGAAAAGAAACCAAAAAACAAAGGTTACTTATCTGACCAAAAAGAATGCCTTGCTGGTGAGGAATTATTAAAATAAACAGGGGATGGGGATGAGCGGTTATTATTTTTGTAGCATGGAAAAACAAAAACTTTGCCATGTGGTATCTCTGAAGCCCAGGTGAGAGTGGACGGGGTATATATGTGTTGACATATGGGCCACACTTAGGTTCTGGTGCAGTTGCACAAAACTGTTAAGTGTGTGTGTTATCGTGTTGTCCTTATTTATTTCCTACATAGTGCCTCTACATTTGTCTTCCAATCTGTAAATAAGAGTATACCTATAATACAGAAGTATTAGCCTGGCCTTTGCCTCTGGATTGTACTAGCAGTCTCCCCAAATTGATTAGGAGATTATATAGGTGCCTTTTTTAGACATACCAGACATTTATAGTGACTTATGAGAACCTGGATAAATATGTTGGCATTGTAATCCCAAAACACACTTCTGAGTGGCAATCTTGCTTGAAGTAAGGCCACTTAAAGCCTTTTTAGCTGCATTGCTGGGAGATCATGATTATTACTGATATTCTGATTGCATGAAGGTGTTCTCAAATTTAAAGTATATTTTCTGTAAGGGCCAACATATGTAATGTTTTTAACTTAGACTTGTTTTGATACATCTGTATATTCCTATGGAAGTAACTTACCTGGTCTGTTTTTCCTTTGAAAACTTTAAAAATCACAATTATACAACCCTCTTTTTTTATGTTTGCTGGTACATTGAATACTATTTTAATTTCATTATAGAAAACAATGTTGGGTAGGGAAATGCTTTCCACTGTTAACTTTTAGCCCCGTGCATTTTTCTAATTTATTTTTCCCACTTGCCACTTTGTATGACATATGTGACATTTGATTATTTAATATAAGATGTGATTTCCCTAAACTC